CATGTAAGGTTGATAAATTTTAGTCTCGTTGCAACACTACCCTCACTCCCAAACACATGTTGGTCGTATCTCAATTAAATATAGTTGATAATGCTATATTTATCGCAAATATGATTACATAACTGCCCAGGTTTGACTGTAGTGTCCAACATCTAAATACTTTTGTTTTGTTCTTATTATGATACGGTTCTAGGAAGTATGTATACTTTTAGAAGATACTTATATTCTTAAGGTATACTTTTAGTCTGAGTGTTTTTAGTCCCGTTGTATTTATAGTTGTATATCTTGTATGGTTAGATATACTAGTTCACTATAAACAATGCTTTGATACCAATCTGTCACACCCCCAAACCGGGACGTCAGAAACGTCTGGGGGCGGATGACTTCATGTACAATATCATAACAATTGAATATGAATGAAACATGGCAACCAAACATCATACATTGCAATATACCAACATTCATTGTATTACACATTGTACTTGTTTAACAATTACACAAAAATAACAAGAAGTAAAATTTCTTGAAGTCGCACCACTTGATCTCATAGCAGAGCTGATTACTTGTTACTGGTTCCCTGAGAATACAAGTCGTTTTGAAAAGAGTCAACTAAAAAGTTGGTGAGTTCATAAGCATTTTTGTATAAAAATGGTTTTGCACTTGTTTAGAATAGTTCTCTTAGTTCTTTTAGAAAATTCGATATTTTCTATGAAAGGATTTGTAAGTCTCGTTCCAAAACTGTGAATATATGCATGTCTGTCCTTTGTTATCTTTTGTTTGTAAAAGTAAAGCGAACGTTCCCAGAAAATCCGATATTTTCTGCCTGCAAAAGTGTTGTAGTCTTAAACCCTAAGACTGGAAGTGTAAGAAACTGAATACTTGAAAAATGACTTGCAATACTATAGCTTAATAAAATCGATGAAGTGTAAGCTTCCCGTAAACCAAAATCGTATTGTTATTCCCTATGTGAGTCGTTATAACCATACTCGATAATGACTAATCCGCCTGTCATGACGCTCTTCAGGCGCCAACGTATTTAAGGTAAGGTTTTTGTCACCCTAGACTGACCTAGTCTAACTGTAGCGAACAGCTCAGGTGTAGGGTGTCAACCCCGTATAGATCTATACATAAACTCCCGCTTTCCCTGCAGGAGACCCTGGTTATAACTACAGGCTACGGTTGTACACTCGATAGGTGTCAAACGCAATGTCCCACAAGAGCCTTAACAGATTTTACGTGAACTATGACTCCGTTTTACTTGCAAATAAGATAATTATGCATTTAAATAATTGTGTCTTTTGAAAGTGTGGTTTGCGACCTTCAACTATGCTAACTATAGTTTATTACGTTGGTTTGTCAAGACAATTTATATGATCATATAAATATATAAATACATATAAGTTAACATGTCTAGATGTTTTAAAAGTACATATAAGTAATATAAACTTGCATCTAACACAAATATAAGAGCTTTTAGCATAATAAAAACAATTTCTTGTTTTTGACTTTTCTGTCCCTGTTTTCATAAAAATTATAGAAAAAATATCGTAAGTCGAAATTTGGATCCGTAAACTCTGAGAGTTTGGAAAATGAGTCTAATATGTTCATAATTTTTATTATAATTTTTAATGGCCTCAAACCAGTGTGAAAATGTTCATCTTCACAGACTGGTCCGATATCATTCCTGAAATGATAGACAGTTTTGTAAAAATCGCCAAAAATTGTAGAAAAATCGTATGAATGCGTGAGAGTAGTCATTTTAAAGGTATAAACCAGAACTTTTTTCATGTAAAATAGTTTTGAAAAATATTATAATTAAGGTGGTCAAAACAAACCGTAATTAGTCCAAAACGTTTGTGTTAAAATCTGATTTTTGAGTTTAGGTTATAGATGTTTGAACACAACACTTGTTTTTTGCTATTTTGAGTGTATAATCTCAGATCTACAAGTTTACATGTAATATATAAGACAACACATACTTTTCTCATGGTTTTTATGATGATCAAAGTGATAAACTTCATGTTCAAGTAAAGATCCAAAAGTTAAACACATAACACAATGGTACATGCAAATATCCAACGGTTAAACGAGAGTTGACTTGTATATCCTCCCCCCGAAAACATGAAAAATACGAAAGATATGGGGGTATGAAACTCACCTTGAGTTTTCTTGGTTGTGAAGAGGAAGAATGGGGTGAGTTTCGGCCCTAGCTAGCTTCTCGAAGAAAGTTTCGAAGTTTGGATGGTTCTAAGAAGCATGAACATGAAATGGAAGTTGTTTGAGAATGTATCTTGGTGAAACTTGGAAATAAATAACTTGAATGTTATATAGACTTACCAAGTTTATGAGCTTTGATGAAAAACCCTTGAACTCCCACCCACACACTCACGATTTTTAGATGAGAAAAAGAAGAACTTCTTTGTTTTCTAGAGAGGGATATGAGAGAGTTCTTGTGTTGTTTGAAGTGAAGAATGGGGTGAAATAGGGAGGGTTGGGCCGAGATATGGAGAGGAGAGGGAAAGAGATTAATGGGTAATACTTAGTGGCTAATACCCTTTGCCTAGATACATGAAATGTAAATTGCATGGTTATATGTGAGTTAATGGTGAGGTGTCATCAATTTGAAGCAAATTTAAAAGTTTTTATTTTTTTATTTTTTTATTTATGGGCTAATCGGATTTTTGAGAGAGAAGAAGAAAATTTATTGGGCTTGTTTTTTTTATGTATAACCGAGAACCATAAGCCCAATGGGTGTTTTCGGCCTTAAGGCCCAAAAATAAGTGGCTCTCGGCCCAATTGATGATCCATGAAGGGTGTTAGCCCAAACAAGTCTTAAATAAATTCCTTATGGCCAAATAAGGCCCATTAAGAGTGTTTTAGCCCTAAAATAATGCTAAATGGAGTATTGGGTCCACTATGACCCAAGAAAGGTATTCACGGCCCAATAAGGAAGTATTGGTCCAATAAGGGGTTTTGGGTTGAGAACTCCTGGGCTAAGGCCCAAAGATGATTGGATTTGGCTTATTGGATCGAGTTTTTGGGTCTTCACGTGGTTGTTTCGACTTGAACGACAATGTACGCAAGTATGAACTTAATATCATTGACGTTTAAATTTCACTAAATGAAATGTTACAAGATTACACAAAGAGTTTTCTTGTACAAGGGCTAACTTCCTAACCCAAATTTGCTAGTTGTGACAATCAATGAGAGTTGTGAAACACTTTCAAATTAAAGCATTTTGAGGGTGCACTCGAAAATCTCTAATCGGATAAAACTCACTGTTCTAAAAGAGAGAATTAAGAAGGTGTTATGATGTAGTGTGTATTAATCTGATTTCGAAATGATCAATAAATCAGGACATAACTTCTTGTCAAAAAACTGTCATTAGATGGTTATAAGAACTTAACTTCCCTGTTAGAAAACTGTCACAAACTGTCATTAACCATCTTAAAACTGGGTCTGGAATTTGGATCACAAAAATCGGGTTCATTTTCTAAAATTCGGATTTCTGATGCATTTTTTATAAAGCCATTGGACCCCGCCAGGGAACCCTCTCCAAGGGGCGCTGCCCCCAGACCCTTATCAGTTCAAGGGCTTCGCCCCTAAATAGTAATGTACTTTCAACCAAGACAAACTTAAACAAATGTACACTTCGTTATCAAGGCATTGTTCGATTAACAAATTAATTCTATTACACTTAAATAATATTAGTGATATAAAATCATCAACATAAGTTTTAGTAAATGATATTAAGGAATTCGATAGTTCCGACGGGTTAACCTTCCGTTATGTGATTTTAGGTTTAGGTTTGGGTTCATGATGTTTACAAATAATATAAACATTTTTTTGTTGAAACTCATTCATTTTCATAAGTCACACAAAGATGACATTGTAATGTAATGACAAATTTTATTATTGTAACTAATCCATTTCATTCTTGTTTCGTCGATGCACTACATCTAACTAAACAAACCTTTAACTAATTAGACATGCACAAAAATACCGGTCCCGGACTAGACCCGAAAAAAGACCAAGACCGAATCGGTATAAAACAATTTTAGACCGAAAAAAGATCGGTCATAACAAGATCAGTCTGGAAAAAAAATAGACTGTTCCGAAACCGGTCTCAAAAAAGACTGAAAACCATAATTTATAAATGTATCATTTTTGTGTCAATCACACAATTTTTAATCACACATTACCTAACTTCTTTCTTTTTTTTATTAAATTTTAGTGTATTATTTTTAATAAATCTTAATCTAACATATTGGTGTTAATCACATATTTGTTAACGAAAAAACTAGAAACCAAAAAATACCTAGACCAAACCGTAAAAACCCAAAAATCGAACTGAAAAAGGAAAACGAAAAAACTGCTAGACCGGTTCGAAAAAAATACCTGACTGTAAAATGACCGGCCGGAAACCACTCCGGAATATAACCGAACCGTTTCAAGACCAACTGAGATCGGTCTGAAGCTGTCAATGGGCATCTCTATAACCAACGAGTATGTGTCCAAACAGTGTTACGAATTGCTGGAAAGATGTCCAACACTAAAAAAAAATTACCCTTAAACATCATGACGTTTCATGCCTTGGTGGCCCATATACGTAGCTATTCTCCCCACAATATTTCTTAATATTCCTTAAAGTACAGTGGTTACAAGCTATAAATCTGATACGGGCATATGCTAGGAGATAGACCAATACGTTTCGCAATGACATTACTATGGTTCTAACGCAAAATATAACATAACGTTGAACTTTTGCTAGAGTAATAGATCTTGGACAAAGTATAGAAACATGAACAAGAGAACAAGGTATGAAAACTGTATGATACTAGTACGTACCGAAGGTCTGAACTAATCCATCATTCAACCTATTCATGACGAGAAGCTGTGGGTTCATGAAAAAAAAATGCGTAAACACCCTAAAACCGAACTGGAAACATGTTGAACGCTTCATCAACCAGTATCAAATGGTCATATGTACAATGACAAATCTTTTTAATTGCAAAAGTTACGTAGGGTTTGAGCTGACAAATTATGATGCATTAATCTTCTAGACTTCTCTAGAATGAAAATTTTGTTGCAGAACAACATATGTGTTGGGCGCATCTTATCTAACATGGATAGTGTTGGTAGCATAACATAATCTTGATAGATATAAAATATATGTATGCATATATATCTATCTATCTATATACTGACTACTTTGACCATCTTTGCTTCGTTCTCCTGACCTCTGGTGGTCCGATGAACAATTCCGTTTCCACATCTGAGTTCTCCTCGTTATCAACAACACGTAAATCCGGTCTCATTTCTTCTGTTCCTTGGTCTGTTTGGATTAAGCACTGAATGGCAAAAAACACAGATTTAACTCTTAGATCATTATGCAGGTTGAACAACATACATCCAGGAGATACGGAAGAAAAACTATACTAACCTTCTCAGTAAGTGATGCATTTTCAGCTGCTAGCAGTTTCTCCTGAAGATCCACATAAAAAGAAATACTATAGTTTATTAGTTTCTCGAAGAAAAATCCTTCTTCCCATATTAATGTAGTTCTCGTATTGGACAACATGTAAATCATTCCATAAAACTTGTACATCCACTCTAGCTAAATATGAGCGTTTTGAGTTATATATAACATAAATGGGTAGGTTTGGAATCATTAAGCTGTGTACCTTTGCTTGTAATTGCTCAATCTGTTCATTGTAGACTTGCATCTAAAACGTCAAGTATTCAACAAAATATGTTAAAGATTCAACCATAAACCCTAAAATTGATATGGAATTGAAGAAGGAAGAAGAATTCTTTGATAACAAGTAATTATTTTTCAAACCTTTCTTGCTCGAACAATGCGTACGCTCCTCTCCAGCTGTTGTTCAATCTGAACTATTTCTTCAATGGTGCTTGATCCTAACCCTTCTCCCAAAAGTTTCCTGCATTGCAACTAAGATCAGTAGCCATCTTTTTTTCTTTAATTGTATATATGAATCTGTGTGTGTGTGTGTGTGCTTGATTGTTTATTTAAAATACAATCTAAATATACTCGTATTGATTAATAAATAGCAATTTTTGGCAATACTAACAATTGTAAGATCAGTAAACATTCTTTTTCTCTTGTTTAATTTCTTTTAATTTTAATTTAGTGAGATTTGAAACCTCAGAAGCATGCATCACACAACTGGAATAAATTTTCAAAGATTTAAAAGACAAAAATTGCACCCTTTTGCCTGCTACATTAATGATTTTAAAATGATCAGTAGCCATTTTTCATCCTATTTTTGTGGTTTTCCATCAGCATTTGATCTTCAGAAGCATATAAAGTATATTTTCAATGATTAAAACATAAAATTGCACCTTTTTGCAACTTCCAGGAGTTCTACCTTCTTTGCCATAGTAGCTGTTTCATGCTTCAAATGCTGCACCCGAATTATATATATCAAAAACAAATTCAAAAACAAACAACCGAATTACATATATCAAAAACAAATTTAAAAACAAACAACGTTATCTTTTGAATATTGTTTGTACATATATATCTATGAACCTGAACATCTTCTATACTCGAAGAATTTTCTGTTTGAACATCTTTTACGTGACTTCTATATCGTTCAATTGTCTCCTGCATGCTGAATGATTTCAAAACCCAAAAAAGAGATGCAATCATTGCCCAAAAAAAGCCATGGAAAATATGTAAAATAAAAGTCATGTATGTATTATATAAGTGTATTCTTACACACATTCATGATATATATGTATGGATGAATGCATCTATCATATGTATTGATGGTTATACATATATATGATATATACTAGTTTTTTCAAACAGAAAAAGAAAGACACATACATTTGCAAGGCCGTGTTCATCAGGGCTTTGAGTTGACATTGATTCAGTAAGGAAAAAAAATGTTCTATTCTATGTACAGTGGTCTTTTAATTAAACTTAATAAAATAAAAGTTATATACTATTTTTGTAACAATTGGTGATCTAATACTTAAGACTGATTAGCAATTGTGTTTGTTTTGACCCTTCGAAAAACTATTATACTTATCAAAAAATGAGAAAACCACTCATGATATCTTTCAAGCACCCGAGTCAGCTTTTTTTATATATAACTTGAATATAATAATGTTAAGTTTATATAGGACAATATATGTAAAAGAAGAGATACTATTTTTGTTACTATTATTTAAATATATTAAACACTATGAATATATGTTGTACTAAATTTATATAAAACTAATTGTAAACAGATGCTTTTTATAGTAAAATCAGAAAAGTAAAAGCTGTGACATTCTTCGTATTCATATGATGAATATGAAATACACCATTTCAAGTTAACTGATCAAAACATGCCAGACAAGAGTCAATCAGATCATATCATTTTTATTATTTTTATAAAAAATTTATATTAATATATTACTATCATTTCTTTATTATTATTTGTCTGGACTAAAAGGAAACTCAGATGGACCTCACTTCCTATAGTTATATGCATGGTTCTAAGCCATGGCTCCAAGGCTTATATGTGCCGCCAAACTTTATCCAAACTTTATCAAAACGCTCTGACTCATATATGTGTATAAAAATGAATAATAGTAGAAAATAAATATAAAAATATGAATTATATACAAAATTGCCGCCTTAAGTCACGCTTTACAAACGACGTGGCTCGCCAAGGCTCGGAAAAGCTTGAGGTTTGACATTGACGCCAAGTCCCGCCTTAAGTTATTTAGAACCTTGGTTATATGTTCTTCATTTATATATATTTAAAAATTCTCTAAATTTCGGTTGAAAGTCGAGATTCAACCCATAAAAAGGTTCTAACTTTATATGTATAGAGTAAGTATTTTGTACGAATAAAAGGGAAATAGATTTGAAACCCAGAATTAAAATCAAGATTATACGAATAAGAATCCCGAAATTAGAATTTACAAATTTTGATGATTAAGTGAGAAAAATGGAACCTTGAGCTTGCAAATTCATAAAGTTTGCCTCTTGGAGAGAAGATGATCAAAGCAACCTCAGCATCACAAAGCACAGAAAGTTCAAACGCTTTCTTCAACAAACCATTTCTTCTTTTGGAGAAGGTCACTTGTCTACTTGTAGCATTTTCAATCCTCCGCATTTGAGTCTTCCCTCTCACCATCTTCCAAAAAATTTAAGGTTTCACTCTATACAAAAAAGAAGTTATAAAAAAGGTCAGAACTGATGACCAATCAAATGTTAAGTCTTCTTAATGTGGTTGAAAGTAGTATGGTCGCATGTTCAAGTTACTGAAAATACAGATTGGTTTGATGGAACCATGAATCTTTATATGCGATCAAGATCCATCAACAAAACACCAACCTCAAATACCCATATCAATTCTTGAATCAAGACAAGGTTTTCACAAGTACCATAATAGAAAAAGATTGAAAACGGTGCAATCTTTAGCTAAAACTATCAACTCTTACAACAAGATTTTTGTTCAAGAAAGATAAGTCACCTTACAAAAGAGGTAAAAACCCAGAAAAAGGTTGTTCTTTCTTAGAGAGAGAGAGAGAGAGAGAGAGAGAGAGAGAGAGAGAGAGAAAAGAGCGGAAGATGTTTGTAGAAAAATCAGCGATGGAGTGTGTGGACTAGGGAGAAAAAGGGGTTTTCGGTCTTTTAAGAAATGAAGCTATTGAAGTTAGAGCAATGGTTCTTTAATGACTTGTAAGTTGTGCATTGGGACTGGTACACATTGTGGGTATGGATGTTTTAGGTTTGCAAAAATGGGTAACCTTAAAACTAGCCCACAAGGAACCCCTAGATACATTAGGGATAGGCCTAAAATTGCCAATGGATGAGATGATTGATTGGTGCTCGAGTCCTCTTTTATGGGTGTATACCATAAAAAAGAAAAGAAAGTGAAAACTAAACTCACCCAATTTAACCACTTTCCTTTTTTATATTAACATGAGTTCTTACCCAACAGTTTAAAGCTTGTTGTAACCTACTTTTCAAATAGAAGAAAGTAAAATTAAAAAGAAAAAAAAAAAGAAAAGACATAAAACCATTGTTCGTGTTGAATTAATAAACTTCATGTAACATGAAGATTGTAACAAGGTTCTAAATTTTGAAAATGTGACCACGTTTATGAATACTTGGATTTTTATTGCTAGAGAATATATATATATATATATATATATATATATATATATATATATATATATATATATATATATACTAACCATTACCCGCGCCAAGCGTCGGGTGCGAATAATTTCTTTTAGAAATTTGTTTCTAGAGGCAATTAATTATTTTAAAATAACTCATGACGGACACATAAAACATTCGACATATGGGGTACGGTGTGTTGTGTGGGGGTTGGTGGGTAGCTGAGTAGGTATGTGTATAGTTCCTTTTGTTAGATAGTCCCTTTTGGCACATAGGATATCCAAAAACATGTAATATTTGAAATAACATATGACAAACACATAAAACATGTAAGGTACATTAATAAATTATTTTTAAATGTTGCTAGTTTTTATTAGAAACTTAAGTGAACTATATAGGAAATTTTGTAAACACATAAAAGCATTCGACAAAACAGTTACAAGAAACAAACATAATGGAAAATTTTGTAAACCGGTTTAAGACAATAAAAAAAGTAAGATGATTGCATTAAATAACAAAAAACTATTTTTTTTTTGACTGATTTATCCTATAGTCATTTTATTCATTTTCATTAAACTATTAAATTTCAGTTTTTGTGACAAAATAGAATATGAATAATATTTTTTTAAGAAAACCAACAACCACAATTTAACATAAAAATAATTAATTTCAAATTTTTTCTTTTAATGTCATTGACTTGTTTGTTCAAAGATAAATGTACGTTTAGATAAGTTGGATGCTCTTTGTCCAACCCTTTGGTTGTGTTCCATAAAATTTTCTAAAGTAGGATGTTATTTCATGTAAATACCATACCAAGTACAATGATCTTTCAATGAAAAAACAATATCAAGTAACAGAAAACCAAATAATAAAATCATAGTATGTTACCATATTATGGAAAATGCCATACAAGTGACAAAACGTGAAAAGAATGTTTACAAAATTATAACTACTTAAAAAATTAATTGAAACCACTCATGTGTGAAAAAACATATAAATGGTCTGTGTTTAAAAAATAAATAGAAATAGTCTCTGTAAAAAAAAGAAGAAGCATAAATAGTCCATGTATTAGAAAAATGAATAAATGGTCCCTGTATACATAATATTAACTGAAATGGTCTCTGTTTAAAAAAATCAACAAAAATTGTCCATGTTTAAAAAACTAACAGAAATGGTTCCATATTAAAAAGAACACATACATGGTTTGTGTTTAAAAAATAACAAAAATGGTCCCTGTTTAAAAAAAATGTATATATTATCCCTATCTAGACAATGTTGACCGGAATAAAATGGCAAACTTTTAAAAATAATTAAAATAAATGGTCCCTGTGTACAATAGATTGCCTGAAAAATAAACATGTTTATATTACATTGCCAACATGTTGGATGTATTTTGTCAATCCTAAAACTATGAACACTAAAATTAATTTATAAAAATAAGTTAAAGTACATTGCCCTTTGACTACAATCATAGCAGGTGATAGAAAACCAAAAAAAAATCAAATTACATTGCCCTTTCATGCTAAAAATCATACCAGGAGACTGGAAACCCAAAATAAAAAGTACATTGCCCTTTTTCGAAAAAAAACCATACCAAGTGGGCATATCAGATGCAAGGTCTTTGATTTGAAGGATATGTAAGAAAATCTCTTCAAACAATGGTTGGTAACTACAAACACAAACAATGGTTGTTCACTACAAACACAAACACAAGCAAACACAAGCAGGACCAAAATAGACACAAATAATCATAAATTTTTGGCATTTGGACAATTTTACCCTTCTCTTCATTTTCTGTCCAAACTTTGTATTTTTGTGTTTCTGGGGTGAGTTGAGTCGAGGGGCTTGTTACCTGCAGCATATACAAAAGGTTTTTTTAGTAATCTAAACAAAGAGAAACATACTAAAATACCTTCACAAACCAACTTTATCTATTAATTATCACCTTTACAGAATGTTATGAACACAAACGATTAATCAACACACACTTCTAGTTTAAGAAACTTATAAGTTCTTCATTCTTCGCTTTATATCCAATATTAGTTATCATTTATCATTAAGAAAATAACCAGACATCCCAGTTATCAAAGAATGTTCTTAGATCTAGATAATTTTTTAAAAATTTTATTCTATTTTAACATGTAAAAAAGTGAATGCAGCAACTTTTTATCTAAAGCACTTTTAACTCAATTTAGTTTAAAGCATTAGCTACAAGTTATTGTTTGACATCAGGTATGTTGATACATCTGGATCCTTTCAAACATATAAATAGATAAATGCATCATTTTTAATGACGCTAAATTACAATATTTTTTGTCTTTGTGTTACCGGTCTCAATATGTGAGAATTAGGTCAAATAGAAAATATATTGGAAAAACTTACCAGGTAAACGTCGATAACGATTGAGGAATGAAGGAAAGATATGAATCAAAAATTGATGGCTTAGCATTGTCCTTGTCCTCACCTCTTCGCTGGTGGTGACAGTTTGGGTTGTGAGACTGTTAGGGTTCTCATCAGGGCCGGTCACGAGATTTTGTAGGCCCTGAGCAATTTGGTAAAAAAAGGCCCCAAAATATGTTATAGAAACATGTAAAAACGGACTATAATTGCTAATATAATCAGGTTGCACCGGTCGTATGCTGCTGAGTCATATGCAAAAGTCTAATAGAATGCTATTCTAGTCGAGTCAACATACTAACTATATATGTTGCATACAAAATAATTGCCCAAAGGTCTTTCATCATTTCTAATGGCTAACCCAAAATGTCTTGGAATTATTTTGTTTTATTTGTCTGGCAATATTTCCAGCCACAATATATCCAGCCAACTCCATCGCATATGTGCCTACAAGCAACAATATAAAGATTAGAAGATGTTCCATTTATTAGTAATTCATATCAAATATCGAACCAAGTAACATCATTTTTAAGCTTTGATGCCCTTTGTTTTGATACAAATCTTTATAAGGATTAAGGAAATGGAAAACATAAATAAGTCAATTAATATGAATATACAAAATCCGTAGAATAAACATTTAGTTGATCAACAGATTGTAAACCCATCATCATTAGCATGCAGTGTACTAAAAAAGAAGCACCGATTTCTTCTTATTGTTTATCTTACTTTTGATTTGTGTGTTTGTATAATATTATTGTTCTTTTGAACAATAAAACTTTTTATTAACATAAGAATACCAGCAGGAAGATGGCATGATGTTACAGTACAAAAAACAAAATAAAAACAAAACCAAGGAGTATAAACACTTACCCCACAACCTAAAAGCCCCAAATTTTCATTTGGGCAATGAGACAAAACTGATCAGGTATCAAACATAAAGAACCACAAGTCCCCACATAACCAACAACATGCACTTTCAGCAAATTGCACAGCCGAAAATCTGGAAAAAAAAGATATTATACTTTTAACAAATCAATGAACTTTAGAATAGTCACCCTAGAGTGAAGATTAAAGAATGGGCAATGAATGAATACATACCTTTATCAGATTCCCTGTTCCTCTAGAAGATGAAATGTTTTTTTTGCAATAAATAATTAAACATAAACATCCTCTGATTAATCACACAGATGAATGATTTGTGTGAATCTACAAATCGTCTTACACTATCAAGTAGACAAGAACGTTGTTGTCGGATGTGAATCAACAAATAGTTTGAAGACAACACCGTTACCAAGGAAAACAATCGACAAATCGTTGCCATCATTTATTTTTTTGCACACGTATGATCGAGAAACGGATCGGCACTTCAAATTCCCAGTTGTTTTTTGTTCTGATTCCTGATTCATTAACCTAAAAGATTTAGGCGCTGATTGAATATAGATAATATTACATACGGATAAACATATGGCCCCCTAAGAAAGAATAGGCCCTGTTCGCTGGCACAGCCGGAACTCCCATAAGGCCGGTCCTGGTTCTCGTCATAACAGAAGGTAGGAGAGGGGCAAGAGAGGGGGCGGCAATGGTAGTGGCTACATAGGGTTTCAAAAGTTGGATCTTCATTAGATCCATGTGCGATTGAGGTTTTAAGAAGAGAAACAGAGGTAAAGAAAAATATAGTTGCAGGGCGTCGATCATCCAGGTTAGAAGGAATCATCCAGGTTAGGAGGAAGAGCATTTGAGTGAGTGAGGATGGTGATACCAGAGGTACACCGGAAACTGAAGCAAGTTAGAAGAGACGCGATAAAGGAGGTGGGTTTGAAGGCCTCAGATGTTGTGTTGAAGAGGCTAGGGTTTAGTTTTTCCAATATGTAGAGATAGAGATACACTCATCATAAGCTTAATAAGATTGTACATTATGCTGTAATAAGTATACCTCTTAAATTTCAAGAAAGAGGCAATATTTTTAATAATATAGTGTATATATATATATATATATATATATATATATATATATATATATAGGCCTACGTTATTCTATTCAAAGTAATTATTGTGTTATTGTATGCATAAATATGGGCCAATCATTTTATTATTTTAAGAAATGATAATTGATTATTGAATTAAAAATAATCGAAAAATACCATCTAATTTAACTAGAAGGGTATTTTAGTCAATTAATATAGATTTAATAAAGGAAATTTGCATATTTTAAGGGATCATAGATTCTATTAATTTTAAAAATCCGATTTTACGAATTATAAGGTTTTTAATTCGGACATTCTGACAGAATATGTTTGAGTATGTTCAAAAAAAATATTCTAGAACCATAAAATAATAAAAATATTCTTGAACATATTTCTTGTAGAATAACAAATTCTCGAATCAGCAATTGAAGAATTAAAAGAAAAATTATATTAATTCTTATAGAATACATGTAACAATTGCTAAGAATTACATTTGTTGTTAAAGAATAACACTCAAAAACTGTAAAACCGGGAAAAAAAACATCAAAATCTAACAAATACACTAATTTATTCTAAAAGAATAATGTTGCTAAGAGGCGTCGTTCAAATTTCGTGGTCCGTTCTTCAAGCATCAGTTTCTGTGGAAAATAATCCAATGAATAAATTAGTGAGAAAATATCCATATTCCATTCCAGCATGAATGGAATTCGTGATTCCATTCTGATAGAATTGGAATTCATTTACCAATAATTATATTAATTCGGGGCATTCCAACAGAATATGTTCATGATTATCATAAAAAACATTCTTTTCTGATAGAATATTATAAACGAAGAAATACCATTCAGTTGAAACATTTTACCGAGCACTTGGTGTGCATCAAAACAACTTTCAATTTCCTGTAAAAATTAGACAATCAGAACAAATTCCCAAAAAACCTAAACACATCGAGTCTATCAATGTCATCATTCAAGACTGTATTTTTGAATCATCCAGCAGAAGATTCCTAATTTCGTACATTTTTTTATTGGAGATTTCGTTTGGGATGGTTCAAATAATGAAAACTAGGGCTTTTCTGCCAATTCGAACTCAAAGAACACCTGATCGATCGGCCTACATGTCTATGAAATATTAAATGCTAACAGATTATACAAACTGAGCATTCGTCACTGCAAATAAAACTGCTTATTGATATGACTAATATCTATTAACAGCCTCGATTAACTCAGAGAGCAGAGCACAAAAGGGGCAAAACCTGAAATCAGAATCGACCTCCCGTGCGCAGAATTGACATCGAAGGCTCTCTGATGGCCGAAGGAATTTCCATGTGATCGATAATCTCAATTCCAGGAGGTGCTACCGGTACATCGCCATGGTTGATCAACAAAAACTTCTTGATTACTGTCAAGCAATCGTATTTCGCAAAAGCCCTCTCTGCTCTTCCTAATTCCTGTATTAATTTCCTAAACTTTATGAAACTCATCTCCATGTAAACAGAGTGAGAGAAAGAAGAAGAAGAAAGAGAAGAAGAAGAACCTGGAATTGAGAGATGTAGAAATCGTCTCCAAACGATTTGGTGAATAAGTGAGTTGGATTGATAGGGTATCTTGGAAAAAATGGAATACCGAGAGAAACAATTCCTTTGACTCTATCTGGCCGGAAAAGACTCAGATGCCAGACGGCGGTTGCGCCCCAATCGTGTCCCACCACAAACACCTGATATTCATACTTACACAAAATCAACCCTAACGTTGATTAAAGCTTCATCGCCATTAAAGCCACATACGACATACCTGTTGTTGATTGAAGTGATCTAGAAGGCCGATGAGATCACCGACTATGTGGAAGAAGGGTAGGAAGAGGGAGAGGATGGGGAGTCGGAATCGCCATAGCCGCGGAGGTCAGGTGCGAGGACACGGTAACCATGGTTACTTAAGTGAATGATCTGATGACGCCATGAAAACCAGAGCTCCGGGAAGCCATGGAGGAGGAGCACTACAGGTCCGTCGCCTTTTTCTGCAACATGCATCGATATTCCATTGGTTTTGATTTTATGGTGAGCTATTTCACCCATCTTCTTCATCCATTCCATTTCCATGTCTGCCGGAGTCGATGAATATAAGAGAGGAGGGAAGAGGCGGACTAGAATTGGTTTTAAAACTGATATCCCTAAATTAAAGGGATATTATTGATTTATATATTTACCCTAATTAATTAAGTAAAAATTACATATGACCCTTTTGAAATGATTGACCTGTATTTACTCATACAATAACACAATAATTAGTTTAAACAAATGAACCTAACTCTCTCTCTCTCTCTCTATATATATATATATATATATATATATATATATATATATATATATATATATATATATATATATGTTTAGAATTTAGTTAGGCTGCAAAACAATACTAAAGCACACAGATTATTGTAAATAAATAAATATTTATAATATGTTTTTGTTTAGCTTAATTTAAAGAAGTACATTAGTTATGTCCCAAATCCAATCATGTCTAGTATTTTTGAGTAATTTAGCATAAACCCCATTAAAAGTTAATTTATTATTTTTATAGTATTGTATATGTTTTTAAATTATTATTTTATATAATTATTCAATATATGTTCTTTTATATTATTAATAATATTCATTTGTAAATAAGATTATTATTTTTTTATACAATGATTTTAGAATTATTCAATTAATATTCTTTTATATTACGCTCAAAAACATTCATTTAGCTTATTTTTTACAAAAAAATAATAATAATAAACTATTACCTTTTTTTGACTGTGAAAGATAATTATTATACCCTTTTGCTAGAACATAGAGTTTTGCTTATTTTGGTAAATACAATATTCACACCCCAAAACAAGAAAGTTGGTACAATTCCAACATATTAAAAGTATGCAAAAGAAAAAGGAAAGGCATAGGGTTGTAATATAACACCTTGATCCAATGAAGGAAAAACAATAAAAAATAAGAAATATTGTTATTAAATTAAGCAGATTAACAATAATTTTCTAAATAGTATTTTATAGAAAATTTTGAAATATTTTTCCTACCATTTTAAGAAGAAATTGATTTTGTAAAGATATTATTAGTACGTGCAAATTGTTTTTTAATAAAGTTTAACGACCCATGTAATTTAATTAGTTTAAATATTTATGTTATAATTTGTTAATAAAATAAAAGGAAACACTAATACCAAACGTAAATATCGAATTAATGCAAGTGAACCCTATATTTTAAAACTTGTAATAGTTTTTTATAACTATTTTGGTGGGTCTCATTAATTTATAAATAGTGTTATATATACCAATTTACGTAAAAAAAAAGAAGATAAAATAGTATAAGTTACAATTAATGAGTGTCATAAACAAATTGATAAAAAAAACTTTACTATTATAAAAACTTTTTAAGCTTTCTAGATTGGATAATTTGACATTCAAATGTTACAAAAGAGATTAAATAAAAAAGTTTTACAATCGTATGCTCTTAGTTTTGATTTTATTTGGTCCATACAAAATTCTTTTAAATGTAAATATAGTCATATTGCATTGAGAAACCCACAAATCATGAGTGAGTTTTTGACCATATAGGTGTTTTTAAAAAACTTATTTACCCAATGGATATACTTTTAAACTTATTTACCATATTGGGTTATTTAGCAATTTAATAAAAAAAAAAAACAAACGTGCCCTAATTTACTTCTTACTGAACCAATTCTTACCTTCATCTTCTTACCTTCGTCTTCTTCCATCGTCAACGACGACTGCAAGACTCCGTCGATTTCAGCGTCTTCGGCGCGGCAAGAGGGTGAACTCCGACACACCACTGCCGACGACTCCACCACTGTCGGCGACTCCGGTGGCGACCCCAGCGACGTAATCAGTGACTTCCACCTTCCAGGTATGTTTTGAATTAGAACTTCGATTTTAGGGTGTAATTGCTTCAGTTACGTGTTTGTTAGGGTATAATTGCTTCGATTTTTAGTTTAGATTCATTTGAAATTTAATTTTTGATTTCTATATTTGTAAAATCGATTCCTGTTTGATTCTGTTTTGTGAAATTCGATATTTAGGCTGTAATTGCTTCAATCACGTGTTTTTTAGGCTGTAATTGCTTCGATTTTAGTTTAGATTCGTTTGAAATTTGATTTTTTATTTCTATATTTTTGTTTGTTTGGGTTGGTTTGTTTGATAGGATGCTGTCTGATTTCTGATTTCAATATGTTCAATCACACTTTTCAAAATTCTGTTTTTTTTTTCATGTATTTGATTGTAGATGGATGTCATATTAGACATTGTTCACAATGAGGATTTCCACTCAATCTCTCAAGTTGCTGTTGCAAGCAATTCAATAGCAATTGACAATGAAGTTGCTGCAAATGATGTGTTAGAAGAAGATGAAATTGGAGAAGAAGATGAAATTAAAGAAGAAGATGATGAAGAATCTTTTGAAGTTCCTTCAACTTTTACTACTATGGAGGAAACAAATATAACTACTGATAGCAATTGGATTGTGTCACAATTAGCGAGCAAGAATGATTTTACACAAGAGTTGGGAAAAGATTCTTTCAAGGATAAAGAAGAACTTATTAGAGCTATCAAGCTTTATAGTATTAAGACACAAAAACAATTTGAGGTTGTTGAGACACGTCCAACTCTATGGACCATAAGATGCAAGTTGCATTTACAATCTGGTTGTAAATGGCAAGTTCGTGTAATCAAACGAAAACGAAGTGGATATTTTGAAATTACAAAGTATACCGGTCCACATACTTGTTTACATGATAATATTTCTCAAGACCATCCAAATCTAGATGGAAGCTTGATAGCCCAGGAAAGCAAACATCTTATTAAAGAGCAACCTTCAATTACTATTCCTGCTTTGAGAGCCGAAATAGTCGATAAATTAGGTTATATTCCTTCATACAAAAAGGTTTGGACCGGAAAACAAAAGGCAATTGAACAAGTGTTTGGCAATTGGGAAAAATCTTATTCTGCTTTACCCAAATTTCTATGTGCAGTTCAAAAGTTCAATCCGGGGACCATAGTCGAGTGGTTAGTTTTGAGCTCAACTAATGAAGAACCCCATGGAATTTAGACGTGTTTTTTGGGCTTTTTCCCCTTCTATTAAGGGGTTTGTACATTGTCGACCGGTGATTAGCATTGATGGCACACATTTGTATGGTAAATACAAGGGAACGATGATGATTGCAATGGGAGTTGATGGTAATAATCAAATTTTGCCATTAGCATTTGCAATTGTAGAAAATGAATCATATGATAGTTGGAATTGGTTTCTTTCTTATATCAAGATTCATGTGGTAAAAGAACGTGAAGGTATTTGTTTAATTTCTGATCGTCATCTTGGAATCCTAAAGGCAGTCAATCAACATGGATCGCCATGGTTAGAGCCACGTGGTTTTCATAGGTATTGTTTATAACACACATTATGTTTATTTTTTTAAAAAACTTTATAACTCACATTATTGTTGTTTATTTTATAGGTATTGTTTACGTCATTTTATCAACAACTTTTATGAGAAGTTTTGTAATTCAGAATTGAAAGCTCTAGCTTATCGTGCCGGGAGTCAAAATCAAATTCGAAAATTCAACTCAACCATGGAAGAAATTGGGAAGCTAAATCCACAAGCTAGACAATGGATAGAGAGTCATCCACTTGATAGATGGACACTTGCACATGATGGTGGGAGGAGATATGGGTTGCTCACAACAAATTTGTCGGAGATTTTTAATAGTGTTCTTAAAGGTGCCCGTTTTTTACTAATCACGGCTTGTGTCCAACTTACTTTTTACAGATTGGTGCATTACTTTGAGGTGAGACGCCCTTTAGGAAATAGTTCACGAGCTAATGGAGATGCATATACCCCTCATGTTCTTGTCAAACAAGCAGCTTTGATGTCAAAAGCAAGTGTACATTCCTTGAGATCTTTTAATCGAGAGAAAGGTATATTTGAGTTGATAACTCAAAGAGGAAGAAATGTGCAAGTAGTTAATTTGGAGCAAAAAACTTGCACATGTGGCAAGTGGGAAGTGTTTAAATATCTTTGTTCTCATGTCTTAAGTGCATGTGGCACACTTTCTTTGAATAGTTGGCAATATGTTGATAAATGTTATTCAATTGTAAAATATTGTGATACTTGGACTTCTGAATTTTCTCCACTTCCTCATGAAGCGTATTGGCCACAATTATTGTTTAAAGAATTGCTTCCAAATTTAGAGCTCTTACGGAATAAAAAAGGTCGTCCTCATTCAACAAGACTTCGAAATGGAATGAACATTAAAGAAGGAAGAAAAGCAAACCATTGTGGAATTTGTAAGCAAAGTGGTCACAATCGAAAAAAATGTCCGTCTAAACCAAGGTAAATTAAGACATTCAATATTTTTTTGTTTCATTCGTAGAACTTTATATTTTTTTTTTTTTTTTTTTTTTTTTTTTTTGCAGATGGTGGTTATCGAATCAAAGTTATTTGGAATGTTTCTTATTTTCTTTTGTCTTTTGTAACAAACGATTGTTGGGTTTGTACTTCAAATATTTTACTTATGAATTTTATTTGGTTTAAGATGATCTTTGTTGGTTTAAATTTAAAAAATTGTTAGTTGGTTTAAATTTTAAAAGTTATTTCTTGGTTTTTATGAAAAGATTTGTTAAATATAATGATGTTTGTAAGAATCAATTAATAAAAAGTAAAAGTAAAGAAAAGCTAAAAAAAAAATTATATTAAATAAATAAAGAATTGGTTACGGTGAAGGTTTAGACTTTAGAGTGCATAAAAAGTTTTACTTTGTGGTCGTATGAAAGTAGGCAAAAGAAAAGAGGCATCACATGTTTTAAAAAATAATATAAAATATTAAATAACCGTAAATAAGTTTAAAAGTATACGAATGGGTAAATAAGTTTTTGAAAAACACCTATTTTGTCAAAAACTCCACAAATCATATGTAAGATATTAGAAGGCATAACCAGCTGTACATGTATGCATGAGATGTTGTACATAGTTAATAAAAAAAGAAGGGACCAAAAAGGGTGTCAACATCAAAGGTACGATAATGGAAAGTGTATGAACCAATCACAATTCGAAAACGCATTGGGAGCCTATGATTTTCATTGTAAAAAGCTGGTTGTGTCCCAGACTTTTTTCGGACCCACACACCTTTTGTAGGGTCAGGGAAGAGGAGGCTAGGGTAGGTGACTCATTGAAATGCAAACATAAACAAATATAGTAATATACACATACATACCCGTATACATATATAGTTATGAAAGTCATGTAATACTAGTAGTGAAAAAAAACATAAATTATGTCTAATCTAATTTACTAATTTTAAGATTTAATCAAAAACTATATGCATATACTACAATCGGTAATATAGGTATGGTTTTAAATGTGGTATCTGTGAAAATCTGTCCCACCTACGAAAATCATTTTTTAATATTCCGCTCAGAAAAAAAAACATATTCATCTTCGAAAATGTTGTGAAAATCTCTTAATGGGCTACAATAATCTTTATATGTCTTGAGTTATAGTTCACTGAGAGGGTGATTAATTATATTTGGTCCATTTATGTAATATATCATCTAACTTGTTGGTGATAGCCGGTCAAAAGGGTTATGATGAACACAAACAATAAGTTAGATGATATATTGTGTAAAAAAAATATGAACAAAATCAACAATTGGTTACCCTCCTGAGTTATTTTTCCTAAATTTTAAGCATGTATAGTTTTAACATGGGATTTAATAGGTAAAAAAAAATTAACTCAACAAAAAAAATACAAGCAATAGTTTAAAAGTTACTCAAGATGTCTAGTGAAATGCATGCACAAGAATAATGCAAAAGTAGTCATTCTTAGTATAGAGTCAAATATGTTGTGATATATCGAAGTCTTAGGTAATGGTCAAAGTATGGTTTAGAGTGTTAAAATCGAAGGTCTCCATGACTTCGATTATGTATGTATTTTCTCAGGCATTTATGTTGTATCTCTTTCTATGTCGAACTCCTGATATACTTTTTGTATCTGTCGAGTACATTATATATAGTGTAGGTACTTGAGTCATTTGTATCTTTTGGAACTTTGAGCTTAACTCTCACACAAATGTACTTGTATCATCTCCAGATAAATTGAGTTGAAATCAGATTATATTTACATATTTGTGTACATATTAACTCTGATTACATATTCGATTGATTACATAACACTTCATTTGGTATCAGAGCAGGAATCAACAAATCGATTGAAGAATTTTATTCTCGTTTTCATTTTGTTGACTCAATTGTTCTGATTCAACATTTCCGCAAGTGAAAACGAAATTCTTCGATTGATCTCTGTGATTTAGCGATTCTACAATCGTTAATCAATCGTTTAATTTTGATTTCATTCTTTTCAAGCCTTTCTTCTTTCCAAATCGAATCAATGGCAAATATGAGTGTGAATACTATGATGATTTACGCTAATTTGCTTGGTTCAGCCATGAAGACCCCGATGTTGCTTCCAAAATATTATGATCAATAGGCTAATCGAGTCGATGATTATCTCAACGGAACTGATAAAGATCTTTGGCGTTCGATCGATAAAGGTCAATATCGTGTTGATCGAGTTCAAGCAGTGGGAACAACATGTCAAAATGAAGATATGATTACTTTGGGTAACAAGCAAAAAGCTAACGATAATAGATGCATTCGTGAGTTGCGTGGAGCTTTACCACCGGTTGTGTACAAATACATCTGTGGTTGCAAGACTGCACAGGAGATCTGGAACACGCTCAAGGAGAAATTTCAAGGAAATAAGCGACCAAAGAAGAGTTCAATGACTCAGTGTTTGTCAGAGTTGGCAAACTTCAAGCAAAAGGAAAATGAAAGTATCGAAGTCTACTATGATCGCTTTAACGAGTTGATTTATAAATGCACAAAGTATTGTGGTGCTCTTAAAGAATTGGAGTACAACATTACTTTCATTCTTAGCTTGAGGAAGGAGTGGAAGAACATCTGCTTAATGTTCAAAATTCAATAGAACTTTGACACTTACTCATTATTGAATTTTTATAATATACTTAAAGCACATGAGTCTGAAGTGAAAGAAAGTGCAGAAGAGACAAACAAAATGATTCTGGTGGTCTTTTGGCATTGGTCTCAAAAACTACTATCAAAGAAGTGTGTTCTGATGTAGCACCCAAGTCACCAGGTATGAGTTGTTATTTCATTCTATGTTAAATTCAAGTAAAGGTGTTGGAAGATTACGAGTACTTTAGACGTACATTAGGTACGCACGACGTACTCCTTGCATGCGCATCATCGGGGATCCCCGACGTACGTTGAACGTACCCATGCATACGCTGGGCGTAATCGAGCCAGGGGCAAACCTTAATTTTTAGGGTTTACATCCTATTTAAAGACCTTAAGTCCCTCAAAGTCCTCTACCCTCTCAGCCTTCACTGCCCTTTTAGTGTAAATCTCAAACCCTAGCCTCCTTGTGTGCATTTTGAGCTTGCCTTGAGTGTTTGTAGTGTTCTTTAGTTGTTTTGAATGAGAAGGAAGTTTGGGAGGAAGCAAAGGAGAAGAAGGAGCTTGTAGATCCAAAGCTTGTGCACCATTTCCAGCCTAGTGAAGGTATAAAGTTTGAACCTTGATTATTACAAGCTTAGATCTAGGTTTTGAGCACTACAACATTCTTATGGTGCACATGCAACCCTAATGCTTTGGATCTAGGTTTTTCTCAAGTTATACATGCAATATTGATTATCCAAAGCATAAACCCTAATCTAGAATACAATTTCGAAATTTATAACTAAAACAAAGTTAGATGAATACCTTTTCCTTGTAGCTTGTAGATCTTGACCTTCAAGAGCTTAGTGCCTCAATTTTTGCACCTCTAATGAGTCACAAACACCAAGTAGCAATTGGAAGATTATGAGAGAGAGGGGGTGAGGCTCTAAAAATCGGCTAGGGTTCTTTCTTAAGTTCATAGGCCGATTTCAAGGAGCCAAGGGGTGTATTTATAGTTGAGCTGCTAGGGTTTCAGGTAAAACCCTAATCTGATTGCTTAAGCCTTAAGCAGTCCAGTAGATCCTTCCATAAGGCCTCCTTTGGACGAAATCTATGTGGGCTACACATAGAATTTCGTCCACCCCTTCCTAGAGATCCATAAGCCCAACTTGCAACTATCAAATAATTACAATACCAGTCCCCGTAATTCAATCAGTCTCTTCTGATCACCAAATTAATTCCAAATTAATTTCTGATCAATACTAATTAAATAATATGATTTCTCAATTAATATATTATTCTTATAATATATTAATAAATCACAATTAACCTCTTTCTCCATAATTCATCCTATCAAATTGCTATGGTGAAGGCAACCCAAAAGGATCATGCTACTATCGGGTCAAGTACATACCAAGTATAGTTATGAGCTTAGACACCTAATCAAACATGTTTAGGGTATAATTTGGCATCTTTTGGTCCCATAGTTTGGTTTCTTGGAGTAGGAGCAACTACGGGCCATTTGAGCAGTCCTTTTGGACACTTGGGAGTGTTTTGAGTCATAAAAATTGAATCGTGGTGGTTAAGACTCAACCATGCAAGTGTTAGCAACCACCCAAGTGAGTTACTGGACTTAATTCATGGTTTGAGCCCCATCCATGCATGCAAGAGCATAAAGATTGCAACTTTATGGCTTAAGACGTTGTTTTGAGCTTGGATCTAAGTTTTAGACGTAATGGTTGTAGGGATTAAGACTTGGAAATGAGTATGGGCTGACTGGCCAGTATGTTGGGCGTACTCTACAGTACGCTGCGCGTATTGGGTCAGTGCCCTGATTCCGGTTGGTCATCAGCGTACGTTGGGCGTACGAGCCATGTACGTCGTGTGTATGCAGTCTGTGGGCTTAGACAATTTTGGGCTCTATTTGTGTTGGGCCTTTTGGACTTGTTTAAGTTGGGCCTCGGGCTCACCTAATGGTAGCAGGTCATTTTGGGCTTAAGGCTATGTTGGGGGTCCTTGGGCCATATTGGGCCTTAGAATTATAGTTAGGCTTGGATGCCTTTTTGGGCTTTTTATGGATTTGGGCCTTAGGAGGGAGGGATGCCCATTGAGGCAAGAATAAACGAACCTTTTTTACCTTAATTCAAGAGCTAGGGTTTGGACCTTTGAGTTAGAGTGTGGCCTAATTTTTAATTAGGGTTTTATGCTTGTGCGTTAGGGAAGAGGTTTTCGTGAGTCATCCGTCGAGTGCGATTTGATATCTTCAGTCTGAGGTGAGTCTTCCTTCGCAGTATCCGTGGGTCGAAGGCACCAATGTCGGCCCACTAGTTTGTGATGTAGTGTGATGATTGTCTTTGTGACAATTGTCAAATATGCCTGTATTTGTTTGATGACTCTGTGATTTCTGTTATGATATTATGTGGTAGTAGTAGGGGTAAAATAGACCCGATATCCGGTTGAAATAGACTGAAGGGGATTGCAAGCACCCAGATATGATTGATAGTATTCGGTTAAAATAGAC